CCGGGGCACCCCGAGAGTAACAGGTCCGGAATGGAGTTCGCGGCCTCCTTAACTTCAAATCCGCTCCCAGCTTCCAGGCGGGAAGGGAGCGAGGCCACCTTCTTCCCCCAGACCCTGCAAGGCGGCACCAAGCCTCTCCTGCCTCGGAGCCAACTGCTGGGCATCTCCTGGGCCGATCGGAGCGGGCCTGGCCCTGCATCTCGCAGCCTGCCCCTCCCAACCAGCAGCGCCTGGGCCAGGTCCCCCGAAGGATGGGGAGGAATGGACTCCTCCGTCCCTCCTGTGCTCCTGCAGGCCGATCGGGCCTCCTACCTCTGCTTTAGCCGTGGACACAGCCTTCCCACCGGTCTCCCACTCCACTCTCTCCCCTGCCCGGCCACCATGTGCACAAATGACAACGGATCTCAGGAGCACATTTCTCCATCGAGGATCCCACGCGAGTCCCTTTGCGACCGGCCAGATCCAACTCAGCCTTTGAATGCATTAATTAAATTAGGGGTACGGGGAATCGAACTCAGGACCTTGGGCTTGGCTGACCTAAGTCCCCAGCCCTGAACACACTAACTTATTTTACAGATATTTATCCAGTATTCGCAATGGCTGTGAGGCGCCCTCATGTGCCCGACAGCACAGCTCTGCAACTGGGAGCGATGAGGAATTTCTGGAGCACAGCGTGTCCCGTGGGCAGTCCTGCGAGGAGAGCCTCGGCCTCACAGCGAGCTACAGCCCCCGCCCGAACCAACCCGTGCCAGTCCACTTCCTCCCACGCACGGCCGACCTGGAGATTCCATCCTCCCTGGGCCTGAGTACTCTCCTCTCCAGCTCTTTGATATTCTTTGTTAGAAGCCCTCCTTGCAAAGCCGGGGCACATTATTTCTGCCTGAGGGTGCTATCTTTACCGTGCCCATCCTATCCCTTCAATCCGAGGCTCACCGTGCACTGTGGAAGTTGCCGGGAGAGGACACTGCCCACGCGCATGCACTCAGGGAGCACACACGGCACGTCCAAGGCCTCCACCCCGAGCCTGCTTTAACCTCTGACACCCACCGTGCTTACCTCTCTAGAGCTTTTAACTGCCTCCTTAAACACAGCACAAACTTTTCTTTAAAAATAATTTTCATTACACCAGATAGAAGAATGAGCTTAATACCTATCGTGAAGTGACCTTCCGGGTATGCTCAGGTCTCGTTTTATACTGCCTGTCAGAGGCTAGACCTGAGTTACCACAGTAACGAAAAATAGACCTGTCAAGAAGGTGCACAGATGACCTGAGATACGTATCCACCAGACTTTCATTTCTACATGTTTCTTAGATTGAACGGGCCGAGGACAGCAGCAAGAGCTGCTGGCTTCCTTTGTAAAGTAAAGGAGAGGTCCCTGGTGGTGACAGATGTGGCGACATCAACACAGGCAGAACTTCCGAAAGCATTTTTTTTAGAAATGCATTTACATGTGCTAAAGTGCAAATTGAACAAATAATTTCTGGGCAAACTATAATGAGAAAAGGCAAAGAGAGAGAACAGATGAACAGTTTAAGATGCGTTTCGTCTTCTTACTGATCATGAGGGTCTGAATGAAAGCCTTGTACATGCTAAAACGAGCTGTGAACATACTGCATCCATGACACAAGGAAAACACGTTCTGGTCGTTGTTCTTTTCAACAGACCTATGAAAGAAGCCGGGCACAGTGGTGCATACCTGTGATCCCAGCACTCTGTGAGGCTGAGGCAGGAGGATCCCAAGCTGGAGCCCAGCCTGGTCACCAGACTTAGCAGGACCCTGTCTTAAAAACCAAAGGGGCAGGGGTCTAGGATGCAGCTCAGTGTAAAATGCCTGGAGTTTTATCCCCAGTGACAATGAGAGAGAGAGAGAGAGAGAGAGAGAGAGAGAGAGAGAGAGAGAGAGGGAGGAGGGAGGAGGGAGGGGAGAGAGGTAGGGACACAGAGACAGAGTGCATACCCATTGTCTTTTTAAAAAGAGATACCATACTTGATTACTTTATTACAAAATGTCCTGAAAAATATTTATGTAATTGCTACACTTTAGATTTTAAAAGCTCACCCTCAAAATTGATTTACTCTAGAAATCTCTACTTTAAATATTTGGCCTGTAAACTGTATAAGCCATTAAACATACAGCCAATCAAAGAAAGACAGTTATTGCAGTTGTCCAAACAATATTGCCATGGGACATAAAAAGGAGAAATATGTAAATATTAAGCCTGTAATAATTAGGCCTTTAATGTGCCTAATGCACAATGGTTCCTTTCCTAGGCTTAAAAGCAGACGAGACCACTCATGCAGATAGCGAAGAGGGCAGGATGTGCTTGGGCGTGAGTACTACATGCGCAACACGCCGGTCCGCCTCACTGTGCCTCCCTATGTCAAATCCTTAGATCCCAAAGCAGCCGAGAGCAGGCTGTCCCTTCACCCACATAAGAAAACCGAGAGATGGGAGGGCAGGAAACCCCAAGTGCACACACGGCTCAGCGACGTTAAGATGGAATCAGAGCCACACAGAGGGCTTTTCCCAGTTTTAGTGCATAGAAATCTTTAAAACTACCTGCCCACTCTTCCTTAAACTTGAAAGAACAAAAGTTACTGTGCATATTGAAACAAAAACACAGTTTTAAAAACTCTTAAATGCTAAGATTTTCATAATTACCTAGATGTTTCGGTTATGTTTTGGCCATTTGTCACTATCCTTTACAGGTGCTACGTGGAGAATAACAGAAATCTATTAATATTTCAAAGTACTGATAGTCTTAAGTCGTCACAGAAGAGTATTATTAGCCCTGTTAATCAAAGGGGTAGCACCGCTTCCGGGTGTCAGACTGCGTCCTCAAGGCAGGCTGGGACACACTGGGGGTCAGGGCCTGCCCGGGCTGCATGGTTTTTAAACCTCAGCCGTCCTTCGCTTTGACGTGAACATTTTTCCGCGAGTGAAATGAGTAATAGGGAAGTCAAATCTTGCGGACTGAGGAGCACGAGCGGCGGCTGGGCCTCGCTGCCCTGTCTTGCCCGAGTGGGTAACAGACCAAGGTCCTGGTCCCCAGCGTGCCTCAAGGTCCTCGGAAGCAGAGATGCTCACCAAAGAGAACATCGCAGAAGAGGCCAGAAATGGGTTGAACTGGAGATGCTCCTATGAGAAGGGAGGTCGCAGGAGTGGGGGCAGGAACTGTGGCCCAGTCGGGAAGAAAGCTGCCAGGAAAGCTGCGGAGCAACATAGGGCTAGCGCAGCCCGGCCGGCCCGACGGAGCTCCCAACAGGCCGAGCGCCCACTCCTCACTGCTCCCCGGTCCACCCTTGTGGCCCTGTCCCGCGGCACTGGGGTCTGTGTCTGGGGACAGCAGTGCCCCGTGCCACACCTGGCTCTGAGGCAGGAACGGGCGCCCCTAGGTGTGCAAGGCTGGAAGGCGAGGAAGCAGCACGGCCACGGACTTGTGCTCCTGCCCACCCGCCCTCCGATCGAAGCCGGGCTGCAGTGCGCGACATCGAGGCAACGCAGAGTGGCTCACGCCGACACACACAGCCCTCAGCCGCCTTGCTGCTCACCACAGAGGCCAGGGCTGCTGATCTCCCAGGCTCCCAGAGGAAGCACGGCCAGGGCGCTCGTCCAAAACCAGGCACAGCTGAGAACTGGCGCGGGCAGCCCCTGGGACAGCAGCTCTGCAGACACAACCACAGCCACGCACAGCCGCAGTGCGCAGCCGCGGTCAGGCAACCCGCCGAGCTGGGACTGCCCCCGCCCTGGGTGCGGCCTCCCCTCCCCTCTCTGCCCCGGGAGGGAGGCACCAGCCGGGTCCGAGCTGCTGGCCCTGGGCAGTAGTGGACGGAGCCCACGCATCTGCAGACAGCTGGCCAGGGCTGAGGGGCAGGGCTCCAAGGGGAGGCCCGGCCTGAACTCCGGTCTGTCCCTAAGTAGCAATCCCACAACAGGAAATAGGGAGGCCACGATTACCATTGTCTCCTGCACTGCAGCAGTAAGTCTATAAGGACTAGGAAGCCAAGCAGAGCACAGTCGGTGTGCAGGAGAAATCTCTACAGCAAACAGCCAGTACTACCACACACCGGCTCATGGAGCAACTCGCCGGGCTTAAGCAGTCAAATCCTTTCACGGGTCTGCTTACTCCAGTGCAAAACCACTGTCTCCCCTTTATTCGTTAATGCTTCAAATGTAAGTAGTAATATCCCGTTTCTTAGTAATAGATCAAAAACCCATAGGTAGTCAGGCTGCAAATGTAAAATACAGAAGGCCACTCAATCCACAGAATGCAGGTGGCATCGAAACTTTCCACACGATGTTTTCCAGAAACATTCAGACACATATTCAGGACCAGAGGAGTACGACACTTTTGAAGGCATCTCTAAATGTCACTGTTTATGGAATAAACAGCTAATATATGTTCCGAGACCTTTCCAGTCAGGAACACACGAAGGCAGCCTCTCTTCTGTTGGTTGCTTTTGCAAAGCCTAAGTTTGCCCCGACATCCCCAAGCCTGCCCACCCCGCAAGGGCTCCTGGGCCGCGGCTATGCACACTCTTGTCCAAAGTGCAGGGACCTGCGCCCCTCTACAGGCAGAGCTCACTCCCTGCCCAATTTTCCTTCTGAAACAGTCATATTCAAGGGCAGCTGCTTGAAACTCAAATACAGCCTGTGCAAATCCCAAAGGAAGCCAGAGAAAATTCACACGTCCCCAGCAGCTGGAGCCATCAGGGGTACACACATGACTGAGCCATCGGACGGCCGGCACCACTGAGGGGACTGCCCCCTGCTGGCCGAGGGGGCTTTGAGCACCTAAAACCCATGGTTCAGAGCCGCCTTAGCAGCAAGACTCAAGCCACAGCCCATCAGGATTGTGTTAAACCGCGATTCCTTCTGCAGAGTCGCGACAAAGCTTAAAAACAAGAATATCTTCTGAAATTATGACCTCATTTCTACCAAATCTTTGCATGTCTTCAAAAATCTATGGTTCTAATGATTAGGCATAATTTACTATTTGGGAATCAGCAACCTTCTGACTCCTACTAGTTGTTGGGTTACACGTGTTTAGATCTGCGTATCTACTTCCTGTAACACACTCAAGACCGCCCTTGTTCTCCTGTGCCTCAAGCCCAGTGTGTTCAGGGCTCACCAAGTGAGAGTGAGCACAGCAGCTTGTCAGTGATGAGCCCTAAAGCTGGCTTTTCTGTCGGCTCCAGAGTCCTTATCCCAACGGGTAGCTCGGCAAATCTCTAACTGCTATGGTCGGACCCTGCCTTCTTTCAAACGGCCCATCAATGACGACCAAAAAGGACAAAGGGTACGGCAAGAGGTAACCAGTTTTTGTCATGAACCAGCTGACCCGTCAAGTCCGCAGCTCGGCGCAGCTGCTCCTACCAAGTGCCTCTACGCTGGCGAAGATGGCAAGCTGGAAGTCCCCTGGGCGCTTCCGAGGCCCCTCTCCTTCAGGCACACAGTCCCAACTATTTCAGGGGAGCGTCTCAAATCACCTTGTGGAACATAGCTGGGATCTGTTCTGCAGTTACACCCTCAGCACAGCTCGCTGGGGGACAACATTTCACTGAACATATGAGATGGGACTCACAGTGAACTCAGGCAGATTGGTGCTGCTTGGGCCAGGGCTGGGTCCTCTGTGGGCCAGGAGGATCCCCGGAACGCAAGCCCCACCACACACCCTGGGGCCTGGAACTCTCCGTGGAAACCCCTGCCACACACAGGGGCTCCAGCCAGCGAGCCTCCCCTGGCTTCTAGACAAAGCCCTGCTTCTTGGCTTTGCTGTGGCCAAACGACAAAGTTTCATGTACAGGGGTTGGGGAAAATGTGAGAGCTCCCATTTCCTGATCTCAAAAGAAGTTGAGCATTTTAAAACAGAGAACTCACACCAGCCTTCATCTTCACAGATTTATTTTAAAAATCTTTTTTTTTTTTTTTTTCCTGTACCGGAGAATGAACCCAGGGCCTTCACACGGGTAACATTCCCAGCCCTTTTTATTTTTACTTTGAGACAGGATCTCACTAAACTGCTAAGTTGCCCAGGCTGGGCTCAAACTTGCAATCCTCCTGCCTCAGCCTCCCAAAGTGCTAGCTAGGATCACAGGCGTGTGCCACCATGCACATTCTGAGAATGACGTGCTTTAACTAAAACTTAAGCAGATTTGTTTCATCCCATACAATTTTTATAAATTCCAAAATAAATTCATTTTTCATTTCATTAAGAATTGTCTCAGAGAGGACCGGGGATTTAGCTCAGTGATTCCGCAGCCTGCCTGTCAAGCACAAGGTCCCAAGTTCAATCCCCAGGACTGAAAAAAAAGAATTATCTGAGATATAACACGTACAATTCCGTCAGATGGTAGCATTTCACTGACTAAACCACTAGCATCAGGTTATTTTATTATTTTCTTCTAAATACTGCAGATAGAAAGCAGAAGAAATGTGGTTAAAAAGGATTTACTGCGAGCCCATGATTGCTGAACGGCACCCGAAAGGTAACAGAGCGGCAGCTCACCCGGCCGAAGGAAGAGTCGCTGTCGGAGAGGCTATCGGGGCAGTGCCTGCTGCCCTTCTCCCTGTGCGCCTTCCTCTGCCTCTCGGGGCTCCGGGCCGCCTCCTCCAGCCTGCTGCTCATGCGCCCCACCACTGCGGTCAGGACACCCTTCAGGGAGTGCATCATGTCTCTGTACCTGCAAATTCACAGCAGGCGTGGTGAGAGGAGGGTGTGCGAAGATCACCACAGTCCACTGGGCTATGAGACAGAGTTCTCCCTGCAAGGTCGCGGTGCCAGATCTAAGGGAATGTCTTTCAGTGGTTACAATAAAACTGAAAGATGGGAGTGAAAATGAATAGGGAACCAGGAAGTGTTCCAGTTCCCGGAGTTTCTTCATAGCCACATAAGGCAGAGTAGTTAGAAAACAGACTCTAAGGCCAGATATTTCCACGGTCCACATTCCAATCAAAACAGAGACCACCTGCTAACATCACCGTCCAAAGGCCAAGCTACTTTTCCCTCTGCTTTTCCCTCTTGTCTTGTTTCTGCCTCCTTCTCCATGTTTCGTCTCTTGTTTTCCTCCCGGGCTATGCTCTCCAGCTCCAGGCACCGGAGGCCTGACTGACACTGCTGTCCACACTCAGGACCTCGGTGCGAGCTGAGTTACAGGCAGGTCCTTCAAGCAGGGGCCAGATAGCTCGTAAGCGGGAAGGTTAGGGGAGGGCTTTCCGAAGTCGACAAGAATTTGATCTGGATTTTTACGCTCTCTTTCCCCTCTCACAGTCTGAAAATCTCAAACCTAACTTACAGTAAAATTCTGCTCTTTAAGTACAGTCAGGAATTTACATTATATTAGACTGAGATGTCTAATATAATTAGAAATATGATTTTAGATCTAGGAAGAACCATGAAGTTGGGTCCCTTTATTTTTACAAACAAGGAATATGGGAACTGGACCACTGACATCTCTATATTTAAAGTTAAAAAGGCATAAAAATTTAAATACACAGTCAACTGAGTACCACATGTAAAATTATCATCCTGGATTTTAATCCTAACTACTTACCAGTGCTGTCATCAGAAATTAAATCTCAATTTTCTGAACTGCAAAATGAGGTAGAAAAAGAACAACCTCGCTAACCTGTATCATAAGGACGATAGAAATAAAGAAATAATTGTAAATATCTGAAACAACTTGTAAATATGGGAAAGCACCACGGGTGTATTATTATATGGTGATGAATCAGGGAAATAAGCACAGAAACAGCTTCCTTTCTATTCTGGCTGGAAGTCACGGGAACCCCCTAAGTCAGGAAGGACAGGCACTGCATCCACCAGGGCACTGAATCCAGGCTGGGGGAGCCGGAGAGAAGCAGCTACTGAGCCCCCAGCACGGCGGGCAGACCCCACGGCCCCACAGTGACCACACTCGGCCACTCGGGTGCGCCCCAGCCCGGGCAGAGACCCACAGGACAGGAGGATCGGCCCCCAGCCCAGCACAGCTGCACAGCCCCACCAGGGTGGTGGTCTGCGGGGCACGGCCCTGGCGTCCACCCAGGCCAGGCAGCAAGGCCGAGCAGTGGGCCCAGAACCTCCAGGAGGAGCCCAGCCTTGCGCACCTCCTGCCACTCGGGTCACCACAGCATGCAAGGCAGGTGAGGTGTGCATGGTCATGCGTGTCATTCGTCACATACAACCGAGAATGATCTCGTATGTGTGATACATTTAGAATACATACCTGTCGCTGTGCGTGTATAGGCATAACTTTACACATGTGTACATGGTACAGTACCAGAAATCATAGGAAAAGACAACACTGAACGTGAAAGTCGGCATGGATAGAGCAGGAGCGGGTGGGTGGGAGAAGACAGAGCAGAAGCACGCAGCAGGCCTCGGTAAGAAGCAGGGGCGCTCCTGCTCTCGTCTGCAAAGGAGACACCAAAAGCCCACTCCCTGGTCTGCAGACCCGAGGAGCGAGGAGGAGCAGCAGGGCCAGAACCACAGCACTAAGCTCCTCCCAGATCCCCTGCAGCCCTGGATGGCAGGTGAACACCACACACACCCCTTAGAGCTCACTGCACCTGCCGAAGTACGCACACTTTGCATTAAGTCACATGAACAGCATACAGGGTGAGAGGAGGGTCACTCAAATCCACAGAGAAACCTGAGACTGAGGTGGACAAGATGTTCTAACTTTCTTGCAAAACCCAACATGAATTCTTCTGCAAAAAGGATCAAGAGAAACGACTAGAGGGAGGAACAGAATAATCATCAAATCAGTTCCACTAAACGAAACTAGAGTGCCGGACTGTGGAAACTGAGTTAAATGAACTAGAATTCAAAAGCAGCCGCTGCAGTTTTGGAAAAGCAGAGGAACAGCAGATACGGCCTACAAGGGAGGCTCCAAGAAGCACCAAGCACTAAAGCAACTGAAAGTAAAAGCTCCGACTAAAGCCACATCGACGCTGTAAGTCCGCACAGCGCGCTCTCCCACTCACTGCATGAGTAACAAACACCTCTGTGTGCAAAACGTACTTAAAAGATAAATACTAAAATATTAATTGGGACAGTACTTTGTCATTATTCAGGGATTAAATATTGCTAATAAATGTAATGTGTCCACATTATCCCTAAGTAATTTCTAAAGAATCACAAAAGAACTGAAAGAAAATACTATTCTGTACAATTGAAAATCTTTCATCCATGATTCATAAATCAAAAGACAAACATTCACTAAGTTATTTAAAATCTTTGTAAGGTCATTATTATTGTATTAATTTTTACACATGGATGAACTAAAACATCAGAATTTAATTAAATAGCTTACACAGAGATTTAAAGGAATTTCCTAGCAGTATCATATAAAACTGCTCTTATCATTAAAATACATTATCAAAATTACTAAAAAATGTTTCAGCACTCCTTTTAGAATAAATTTAACAAGATTGCTAGAGATGACTAGGAACTGTAACATTATCCAAAGAGAGAGGACTGCATTTTTTTTTTCCAAAATTCAAGAAACAAAATTTTAATTTCTATGGCTTTTACTTAACAGAGGTTTGAACTTGCTAAGATACTAATAGCTGTACTCTATCACTTTGTCCAACTAATGTATTTGGTTTAAATAGCATAATCAGTTGTCACTAAGGGAAAAACTGCTGTCCAAAGTAATAAGTGCTTACTTTAAAAATAAATCTGATTTAAGGCTTTAAAACACAGTAGACAACACAGGCTCCAGTATATATGCCAAGGTCGCTGATACTGACTGGGGTTGGCAAAATACGTCCATGGAGCTCCACGGACCTCCCACCTGTGAAAACAAAGGTCCACTGGGACACTCAGACGTTCTCCTTTCCAGGTCACCTGGGGCCCTGCACAGGAAACCACTTGGGAGCACAGCCGGGCTTCACCTGCACACAGGTACTCCAACCACTGTGTGAGAGCAAGAAGCTCCCCTGAGCCACTGAACTTTGGTGTCTCTGACACAGCTCTGCAATGCACTCCTCACGTTTCCACGTGAACTTCTGCATGTACCACAGCATTTGCTGTACAATACTGAAACTACTCTGAGTTTCTATTTCAGTCTAACATTCAACTCCCCATCTCCCCATGGGTTACGGAGGGGAGACTTCTCATTCATTTGTACAGGCCACATCTAACGTGACATGAAGCCGTGACTCATTAAATGTGTGAGTGGCTTGTGGCTGATAAGGGAAATAATTCTGCTAATGCCAGAATTATTTCCAACATCAGTTCATCAGTCTGTTTTCCTTTGCTGTAACAAAATCCCTGAGGCTGAACACTTGTAAAGAACAACATCCACTCAGCTGCTATTGGGAAGACCTCTTATTGGGTGGGGCTGCTAGCAAGATGGCAAGCTGGAGGGTAGGTGGGACAGGTCTTGCTCATTCCAACAGCCCTCCTGGCCCCGCTAAGCCCAGCCCTGCGCTAAGCCCAGCTCTGGAAGGCTCTGCCCCTCTCAGCCCTGCATGCTGGGGCCCACACCAAGCATACCACGTGATCCGGGACACAGCACATGGTGCCGGCCACGACTCTGCCCTGATTCCATCAGCAGACACCTGCTCAACATCTAAGACGGACCAGGCAGTTATCTTCCAGGCATAGGAAACAGAAATAGGTAAAAGATTTTTAAAAAGATCAAATCGTCTTTGTAAGGCTTGGATGCTAGTAGGAGACACTGGCAATCAATAATGTGCCATCCCTTATTAATCAGTGACAAAGCTGCTACCAGGAAAGGCACAGCAGAAGTAAGGAAAGAAACTGAGGGGTGACAGGCTGCCTCCTGCTGGGGCACAGCCAGTGGACAGCACCGGGGCCAGGGCATACTCACTGCGCAGAATCCTGGACCCTCGCGAAGACGCACTGCACCACTGTGTCGTAGCCAGGCTCCTCACCCCGGCTCTGCTCAGAGACGCACTTTTCCATTTCCTCTTCAATCACAGAGCCCAGTGTGCTGCATATGTGCTGTCTGAGGTACTTAACAAGGTCATAGCTGGAACAAATATTTAAAACGCAGTGAATGTCATGAATCCACTTGTTAACCAAACTCGGAAAAAGCACTAGACAGAAAGGTCTGACGTATGAAGATTTCTAACCTCAACCCAGACAAGTGGACCATTCATCCCAAATCCTCAAGCCTTTGCTTTTGTCACTGGTACTTCCCAGGACACTTGGCAAAGGCGATTACTAAAAGGTGGGGAGGGCAAAGCCCACACTGCAGGGCTGGGACTGTCTCCCCCTTTCCTTTCTGTGCTCCTCTTCCACATGTGATGCTGAAGGGTGGGGGAAGCAGCTGCTGAAGATTTTTACCATTGGAAGAGCGAGCTCGAGCACAGTAAGATGGAAGAATAGGCAGCGGAAGGCTATGCTCCAATGCCAACACACTCCTGTGCAATTCTGACCGGTGGTGGCCGACCTCACCCACTTACAGAAGCACTCAGAAAACTCCACACACTGTATATTTCATCATCTACTTAGGGTGATACTACTACTAAAATTAGTTTGTAAACTCAGACATTATAACAAGAGAAGGTAAATGTTCCACAAAGTAAATAACCTAAAATGAAACATATTCACTGATAAAGGGCAATAATTGTAACTAATAACATGATTTTAAAATACCTAAATTTTTCTGAAAGCTTTCACGCTAAAATCAGACGAGGATGTCGACTAGCATCACTTCTATTCACTGTCATTCTGGAAACATTAACCAGAGCAATTAGACAAGAGAAAGAAAGAAAAGGAAGAAAGACAGGAAAGAAGAGGTGAAGTTATTTGCAGATGACATGATACTCTACATAGAAGGCCCCAAAAACTCCACCAAAAGACTTCTAGATTTAATAGCAAAATGCAGTAGCTTAGCTGGATACAAAGTAAACACTCAAAAATCAACAGTCTTCCTGTACACAAACAACAAACTCACCGAGAGAGAAATTAGGGCAACAGAATAGCACCCCAAAAATGACATACTTAGGAATTAATCTAATAAAGAAAGTAAAATACCTTTACATTGAAAATTGCAGTACTCTGAAAAAAGGAGATGGAAGAGGATATCAGAAGATGGAAAGATAACCCTTTCTTGGGTAGGAAGAACCAACATAGTGAAAATGGCCATACTTCCAAAGCTGTTACACAGATTTAATGCAATCCCAATCAAAATACCATCACCATATCGAACAAAACTATAGTGAATTCCTAAAATTCATTGGGAACCAGACCTAGAATAGCAAAAGCAATTCTGGGCCACTTAAGGCAAGGCAGGGGCATCACAATCCCTGATTTGCAATTATACCACAGAGCTACTGTGATAAAAACAGCATGATGGAGGGGGGGGGGAGACACAGACCTGAGTATCTACAAACAGACTGGAAGATGTGGAAACAACTCCAAATACACTCAGCCCCTTATCGCTGACAAAGGGGTCAAACACCATCACTGGAAAAAAGACGGCCTCTTCAATAAGTGGTGCTGGAAAAACTGGCTTTGCACATGTCAAAGACTAAATTTAGACCCCTGTCTCTCACCATGCACTAAATTAAAATCAAAATGGGTCAAAGATCTAAAGATTAACAGAGAGACACTAAATCTACTTGAAGAGAGAATAGGAAGAAAGAACTCTTGAGGACAAAGGTGTAGGCAAAGACTTCATGAACAAACAACCTGAGTCACAAAGGAAATACTTCAAAGAATCAACAACTGGGACCTAATCGTATTAAGAAGCTTTTGCACAGCTAAAGAAATCACCAACAGAGTGAAGAGACTACCCACGGAGTAAGAAAAGAATTTTAGCCAGTGGTTCCATAGCCAAAGCACTAACATCTAGAACATAAAAAGAACTGAAAGAAATCAGACCCCCCAAATTGAAAGTCTCAATCCAAAAATGAACGTCTAAGATAAATACAAACTTCTCAGATGAAGAGTAAAAACTGAAAATAAATACATGAAAAAATGCTCAATACCACTGGTCATTCAAGAGATATAAATTAGAACAATGCTGAGACTCCATCTTATTCCGGAGAGGTTATGTATATTCAAGAAATCACACAACTACAAATGCTGGTGGGGCTGTGAAAAAAAAGAACGCTTCTCCATTGTTGGTGGGAGTGTAGACTGGCACAACCACTTGGAAATCAGTGTGGAGATGCCTCAGAAAAACTAAAACTGGAAGTCCCATTTTATCCAGTTACATCCTTTCTGGGTACCTTCCCAAAAGAATTAAAAACATCAAACCATAGCAGTATATGCACACCCATGTTTACAGCAGCACAGTTTGTATTAGCTAAGTCTTGGAAACAACCTAAATGCTCATCAACCAAAGAATGGATAAAAAAGATGTGGGGTTTTTTAAGTATATAATGGAGTACCACTCAACCATAAAGAAGGATGAGCTTGAGACTTGGATGCACCTAGAGACCACACCCTTAAGTAAAATAAATCAGACACGTGTGCAAATACTTTTTGGTACCGGGAATAGAACTCAGGACCTTGCACTTCCAAGGTGTGCGACGGTACCACTAAGCTAAATCCCTAGCCACATGTGCAAATACTGCCTTGTCTCTTTAGTGTGAGAAACTCAGAGTGTAAATAAGGATAAATATTGTGAAATAGGAAGAAATTGTTCAAAATTTTAAAAAATACTAAAGTTTTTATGGTCTCCCAAATGACAATGATGATTTAGAATGGGTCGTTTTTAAATCTCTACAGCTAAGATGCCCAGCTGAAGGATCACTGAGTTAAGAGCCTTACGTACGCATGGGACAGAAGAGCCTGCATAATTTCCTTCCACCATGATGAGCCCACCATGATGTCCACCAGGCCTAAAGTATTTATGGAATGACCCAACCTCCTCCCCAGAAGGAGCAGCCACCTCAGCTAAGCAGCCAAGGACTCTGCAGCACTGCTTTCAACAGATCCCCTCCTCTCCTTGGCTCTCCTCCCCTCTCAGCACTGCTGCTCCCACAATCCCCACCCCTGCCTCACCGCCATAAGCGGAGGCCCTTCAGAGATGGCCTGTGGCCGTAACCCTCAGGAGGAGCTGTGCCACAGGAAGCTCGGTGGAAAGACACTAGGAGGTAAGCAGCTCCCAGCTTTCCACGCCCCAGCAGTGTAACCCTGGGCAGGTCGCCGTTTTCTCATCTATAATCTGGCGGTCCTTGTGCTACCTCATCTCATTACGTGGAAGAATTCGGGACAGTAGACAAAGTACTTCAACTCTGTAACTACCAGAAAAAGAAAAGGATCGTCAGATATATTCTCCACTCCCACATGGAATTTCAACTTCAGATTCAAAACAAACAAGACATTTCTTGAGCATTTTTTGCTGCCAAACCTCTCCTTGGAAGAGGAGAGCTGTTACAATGGCCTGCTGGCCAGGGCCACTATGTGTTCCCTCATTGTGTCAAAGTCAGCCTAACCAAAGCCAAATCTATCATCCCACCACCCACACACACGCCACCTGCCCTGACTTGTATTCTCCTGCTAACGGTGCCATCATCCCAACACACAGCTGAGTACAAACTCACAATCAGCTTTGGCTACAATCTGCCCCACCCTCTCTCCCATCTCACGGTTAGCAAGCTCTGTATTTCTGCACATGTTGCCTCCACAGCGTGTCCCTTCACATCATCAGATCATGCTGAAAATCAGGTGGTTCTCAATCATCAGAAGGGCTGGTTACAACACAGACTGCTGGGCACAGCTCCTAGCTTCTGACTCAGCAGCAAAAGGTAGGGCTCAAGAATTCACATTCTAAGAATTCCCAGGAGATACTGATATCAATACTGCTGGTCCCAGGACAGGAATTTAAGAACCACTGACCTAGACAGGTCCTGTATTCAAATAGCTTATAAATATTTCACAGTTCTTATTACTCTAATCAGCAACTTCCTACCCATAGAAACAGTACTAACCCAAAATGATTTTAATACTTAGTGATTTTATTAGTTGTATTACATTTTAAAATTTAAAATATATACAATTATGCTCATCTATTTCAACTGAATTTTTTTTCCCAATTAACAAAGTACCAATCCCAACGACTTAGAATAAGCAGGTCATGTTGGAATTTTAGGAGTCACATGGTATAGTACCAGTTTTAACTTCTGCTCCCTCACTTACTAGCTATTTGAGGTTGTACATGTTAATATCCCTCCTTGTGCTTCACTGGGTTTTTTTTATTCATAAAATAGGAGAGCATCTCTATTAGAAATTATAAAGATTCAAGGTAATATATGTTTTGCGTGTATTTTATGTGACACAGGGGCCTTATGTAAATTTAATAATCTGTATGTGGTAGCTCTTACTGGTGTCATTATTAGACACATCTCACCATTGATAATAAAACTCCTTTTAGATCTCAATTTATTCGACTAGATGTGTGTTCCACTGCTACCTGTATCCATGCCACACTGATTTCCATTCCCAACCCCCTAAATCCTTAACAGGACCTTAATAGGATCTCCCACAGCCTGAAATGCTATCTCTGACAAAGCCTCTCCTAGTTTCCCAAAACCTGGCATTTTCACCCCAGCCCTACAAGTGCTTTGTCCTACTCTATTAGAAGTCAGGATGTCCTGTCTTATATGTAGTTACAGATACACTTATGTGTAGTCCTATGGTCTACCTGATCCTCTGCTTTCCTTGTGTGTAGTTACATGATCTATTTCTCTGTCTTCTGTGTAGTTATGTGATCAACTTGATTTTCTGGCTCCTGATACCACTAAACCCAGATATTTAAAAAAATTAACACTGGGCTGGGAATTTAGCTCAGTGGTTCCAGCGCCTGCCTTGCAAGCAGCAAGGGCCCGAGTTCGATCCCCAGTACCAAAAAAATAAATAAAAAATAAAAAAATTAACACTAAATAACCAATCCACCGTAATTACCATGTGCATGACCCTAAAGTGTTATACTTGACCAACAGGATAAATTCACAGGCCTGCCTAACAAACACATCTGTAAGAATTGCTGCAGGTAAACTGTGGCAACCCAGTAAA